GCCGTAATTTATTTTCCAGAAACCAGTTTTTCTTTCTGGTTCTCCCTTCCTCTCTCATTTATAATTCCAGGATTGGCTGCATGCTGTATAGTTAGGGATATGGAGGAAGATACAGTTTTATACTAACATGATTGCTATGTTCATGCCTAACTTCAGCCAAGTTCTTGTGCAGCTTTTAGGAATGCCTTTATTATTTTAATCATCCTTGTTAAAGTGATATCACACAGTGGGGTGGAGGAAAGTGCTGTAAGTGCATGCTCTGGTGCTACCACACACCTCTTAGCATTAAATGCAAAATAATTTTCATGTTGAAGACTGGAAACTGGTTTTGTTTATTTTTTCTTTGATGTGTAACCTTAAGTTTAAATCAAGCTGTTGAATTGTTAATATTAATCCATGCTGTCCATTCTCTTGTTTGTTTCTGATTTCATTAATATGTTTTTGATCTTCCTGTACAGTAGGATTTTTTTGTTAAATATTAACAAGAAAACAGCTAGAGAGTCATTGGATCCCTCTCCCAAAATAGCCAAACAGAGATCCTGCATTATTACTTCAAAACACAAGCTGATCAGGCCCCATTACAACCTGAGCCTGTCCACCTGAATTTAGGAGATTTGGAGCCAGATTGAGACCTGCTCTATGCTTAAATTAGGTTGGCAGAGCTACAGTTGTGAAAAGGCTCAAATCTCTGACTTCCATAGTTTAGTCAAATTAACTTCCATTGTACTCACGACTGGGTTGATAGAAGGATTCTTCCATCTACCTACCTACCTACTGTTGCTCTGAGATGTGGATTATCTGCAACAACAGAAAACCCCTGCTGTCGCTGGGACCCATCTACGTTATAGGGACACAGCTGTAGCATGTGTAGCAGTGCTGCTGGAGCATCTGTAATATAGACATGGGCTCGGTCCTGCACTTCACAATAGTTGTTGTCTGGCCGTGGCAGAAGATTGGCCAAGTCCCTACACCTGCGTGCCTAAGGTAGAGTGGCATAGGGTTGCTTACACTTGTCCTTCAGTCGAGGTATTCCCTAAGATGGGGGTTTTCAAAGTTGGGTTGCGGGCCTGCCTGGGTAAACAACTTCCACAGCTCCCATTGGTTATGGTTTGCCGTTTCCACCCAAGGGGAGCTGTGGGAAGCGGTGTGGGCGGGTCTGAGACACAACTTTGAAAACCCCTGCCCTAAAAGATAATCATAATCACTCATAAAGTAGCCATTGCAGAGGCCTAAATTGGGTCCCAGTCAATTCCTGTTCCTGGCTATACTGTTGAAAAACCTTGGGTAAGTTGGAGGCTTTTCATTCTTCAGTTCTCCCTCTGTAAACTGGGGTAGTAAAATGAGCTGCTTTGAGCTCTGCAGATGAAGAACCATGTAAGCTCTCAGTCATTTTTGTTGCCATTTAGCTTCCCAACTTCTAATCCAAAAAAGCACCACTGGGGAACGTGAACTGAGCTATGTTGAATTAAAATGTAGCCATATCTGGAAAAACAGAAGGATTCCTTGAAAATACTTCAGAAGGTGTGATGCCACATTACCTTCAGAACCTGGGGGGATGTTCGTGTCATATCTAAACAGGTGATCAAGTTAGCTCCTTGCAGTAGTTCCTGGCTCTTTGTATTTCAGCTTTAGATCAATTTTAAATCATGTGCAATTTTAACAGTGAAATGTAATTAGTTATTTTTTCCTCTACTCCAACAACTAATTGTGATATCTTGGAGGTCATAAGCCAATGACTTAGAATTGTTTTGTCATTTCTGATTTTCAAAAGGAAGGAAGTTAAATGTCCACTTCAGTATTTATACTAGTAACAGAACCCCTGTCCATATCTGTGGGAAGCTAGAGGATCAGATTTCTTAAGTCAGCTTTTCAGCCTTCCAGTCCTGGGACAACCACCAGCATTACATTTTACATTCCTTAGTCTGCCATCCACGAGACCATTCCAGAAAGGTGATTGCCAAGACATAGACACATCCTGACCCTGTCCCCTGTTTTTTCCCCAGACATGCCCCTATATTGGATAGTGGGAGGCGGATGTAGGAGCCTCCCTGCCGGTTTCATGCTACCAGAAGATTCCTCTAGATAGAGGAAGTCTTCTGTTAGCCAGTTGAGTTCTAAAGTAGCGCAAAGCACTGTTAACAGACCAGAGGATTGGACACAAATTTCCAAAATGTAGTTTATAAAATTTTAGCTTTATAGAAACTCCCCAAGTGCTGTAAAAAGCACTGCAGTTTTTAAGGTCAGCATCTATTTTTGTCTACAATGTAAGGAATGATCAGTATTTTTCCTGGGGTGACGTCCATAATGTTCAAATTTTCCATCATAATGCTGCCAAGGCCTTGGGTGTACTGATGATTGGCTCACATTTTCCCACCATTAGGCTAGCACCAGTCTAGAGCAGCCACTGGCATTTTGCCACTCTGTTGTCTAGACTTGCACCAGAGTCAGATCAATGGTAGAAGACACTCTAAAAATTATCAGTATAGCCAAGGCCTTAAAGTGTGCTGCTTGTTCAACCAGTCCCAAGCAACAATAATTCCACGGGATTAGTGGCATAAAACTGCAGAAAGAGGAGAATCAGAGTTGCAGTCAGAGAAGAGGCTGCTGTACCCAATGCTACAAAGCATATCCCTAGGAAACAGTGAACTATGGCCTGGGCAAAAACTGGTTAATTTGGGAATAAAATACTGTGTTTCAAAATATGATGGAATATAATCAAGCTAAACACCAAAGATGAATTGTGTCCATTCCATTATAGGAACTGCTGCCCTACCTTTCTGCAGGGCTAACCAGGCAGTGTCACTTGCTGTACTTGATTATTCTGTTTTTCACTGAAAACATTTGATACACAAGGGCTGTGTCTACATTGGCACCCCTTTCCGGAAAAGGGATGCTAATGAGACCAGTCGGAATTGCAAATGCCGCGGGGTATTTAAATACCCCCCGCGGCATTTGCATGAACATGGCTGCCGCTTTTTTCCGGCTCGGGGTTTTGCCGGAGAAAAGCGCCAGTCTAGACGGGACCTTGCGGAAAATAAGCCCTTTTCCAGAAGATCCCTTATATCCTGTAGGATATAACCCTGCAAAACCCCGAGCCAGAAAAAAGCGGCAGCCATGTTCATGCAAATGCCGCGGGGGGTATTTAAATACCCCGCGGCATTTGCAATTCCGACTGGTCTCATTAGCATCCGGGGGTCCTTCTTGAATTGGATATGTCCAGAAAACTTTTGACATCAAGTCTAAAGAATCAGAACTTCCCCTGCAGAAACATGGGGGCTACATCTACATTGGCTTGATCTTGCGCAAATACTCTTTAATGCAAGAGTTCTTGTGTTAAAGTATTTGCACAAGAGAGCATCTACACTGGCATGTGCTTTTGCGCAAGATCATCCGTGCCAGTGTAGACTCTCTCTTGCGCAAGAAAGCTCTGATGGCCATTTTAGCCATCGGGCTTTCTTGTGCAAGAAATTCATGTTGCCTGTCTACACTGGCCTCTTGCGAAAGAACAGTTGCACAAGAGGGTTTATTCCTGAGCAGGAGCATCATAGTTCTTGCACAAGAAGCACTGATTTCACACATTAGAACATTAGTGTTCTTGCGCAAGAATTCCCTGCCAGTGTAGACAGGCAGCATGTTTTTGCGCAAAAGCAGCTGCTTCGGCACAAGATCGTGCCAATATAGACACAGCCGAGGTGTTTGTATTTTAAGAACAGGATTTTGTGCTGTTTAGTGTTGCCAAATTTCTAATTGCACAAAACTGAGTCCTCCCCCTTCTACACACACTTATTCCATTGCACCCCTCTGATTCTTGTTCACCCTCACCCTCATTCAGCTGTTCATTTTTGCCAGGTTTGCACACGGGCTTCGAGTGTAGGAGGGGGCTGAGGTTTGCAGATGCCACGGTAAGGCCAGAAATGAGAGGTTCAGGGAGTGAGCAAGGACTCCAGCCTGGTGCAGGAGATGGGGGGACACCAGAGATTCTCAGAGATTAGAGTTTTGCGGAGCATCAGGCTGGGTGGAGCCAAGGGGCTTGGCGTATGGGAGGGAGTTCTGGGCTGAGGAAAGGGGTTGGGGTATGGGTAGGATATGGGCTGCGGATGTGGGTTGCAGGGTTCATTAGGGGACTCCAGACTGGGATAGGGATGCATAGGGTATGAGTGTGGGAGGGCTTAGGGCTGGGGTGCATGGTGCAGACTCTGGCAGAGTGTGTGGATCAGGAAGGTGCTCAGGGCTAGGGCAGGAGGGTTGGGGTGCAGAAGCAAGGCACTGCTTAACCTGGAAGCAGCAACAAGTCCCTGAAGATGGAGACATGGCCCAGCGGTGCACACAGCTTCCACCCACATGCACCACCCCTGGAGATCCCATTGGCTGTGGTGCTTGGCAAATGGGTGCTGTGAAGCTGGTGCATAGGGCAGGTGCAGGGACATGTCACTGCTTCTGGGAGCCAT